CATCAATATATGGTGGGATAGAACGTGAATTTAACCTTAAAGCCGTTTTGAGTTTGGGCTGGTGATTTCTTGGCACGCTCCTGGCCCCTGGATGTTGGGAGATGTGGGTGACATGGGGAAGGGGAGGGTCTGTTCACTGTCCTCTCTTTTCAGCCTGACTTCAGTGAAAGCTCGAGGTGCACTTGGCTATTTCTACGACTTCAGCACTCCTAGCTCTGCCCAAGAGGGTGCCAGCGAGCTATGACCTCAGGGCAGTCACTAACCTGCCCAGACCAGTTTCCCTCCCGCCCAGCTACCCTAGTTCCCTGCGTGAGTTTCCTCTTCCTTTCTGGCGCTTCTGGGAGGACAGTTCTCTCCCTGGAATGTGGCCTTCTGCCTGCCAAGTCCCTCCTTTTCCCTCTGAGCCCTGCACCTCGTTCTTCTCTTTGAAGCCCCCCGGGACTGCCGCAGAGCAAGATCTTCCCTGCACCTTCTCTTTGCTCCCGGTGTTCTTTGCATGGCCCCAGCATTTATTGGAGCCACCGTCTGAGTCGTTCGGGATTCATCTCGTGCACCGTGCAGTACGCACTGGCTCTTCGGAGGCAGCACAATGGAGGTGACCCTTCTCCCCGTGCACCTTCCAGAGATTGGCACGTAAACAAAGAAATAAACACAGATTCCAGCTGCGATGCCTGTGATAAGAATAAGAATTGGGGCCCAGTATTTGTTGACCTTTCAACGTTGTGCAGTCCCAGGGGAGGGCTGCGTGGTGGGGATGGAACACAGGCATAGACAGTACGTACCTTCCTCCTCTGGCAAACAGGGATGACGAGCTCCTGTGGTTAATCCACACAAAAGCGTTCGGGACGGTGTGACACCCAAAGGTAATATCAGTGGCATGGCAAGATTCTTCCCCATTGATGATGATGGATGTGGTGCTTTTTTTCTCTATGAAGAAGAAAATTTAAATTTTTTTCATTGCATTTGGTAGCACTTTTTTGTTTTCTTTGAACAGTGTTAGGATTACAGAAAAAAATTGAACAAGAAGTACAGAGTTCCCGTCTAACCCTTTACCTCTTTCAATTTCCCATGATTAACATCTTGCTCTGGTGTGGTACATTTGTTACAATAAACGTGGTAATACTGATACATTGTTATTAACCAAGATGTATAGTGTACACTTAGGGTTCTATCTTGGAGAGGTGTAGGTTCTATCGCTTCAAAAAATGTGTAAAGACATGTGTAGAAAATAATAACTTCACTGCCTTCCAAATCCCCTGCAATCCATTTCCTCGTTCTTCCCGTTCCACCCCCAAATCCCTGGTCTTTTTGTTGTCTCCATAGTTTGGCATTTTTCAGAATGTAATAGACGTAGTTGGAACCGTGCCGTAAGTAGCCCTTTCAGACTGGTTTCCTTCTCTTAGCAGTATGCGTTTAAGATTCCTCCATGTCTGTCTGTGGCTTGCCAGCTCTTTTTTTTTTTTTTTTCTTTTTTAACTGCTTCTTGCAGAGAAGGGTTACCCTATAGACAGTGTGCCCAGAGTAGCCTCATTTTTCTTTTTCTTTTTTTTTTTTTTTTGAGATGGAGTCTCGCTCTGTCGCCCAGGCTGGAGTGCAGTGGCCAGATCTCAGCTCACTGCAAGCTCCACCTCCCGGGTTTACGCCATTCTCCTGCCTCAGCCTCCCGAGTAGCTGGGACTACAGGCGCCCGCCACCTCGCCCGGGTAGTTTTTTGTATTTTTTTAGCAGAGACGGAGTTTCACCGTGTTAGCCAGGATGGTCTCGATCTCCTGACCTCGTGATCTGCCTGTCTCGGCCTCCCAAAGTGCTGGGATTACAGGCTTGAGCCACCGCGCCCGGCCCATTTTTCTTTTAATTAATTAAATTAAATATATTTTTTTTTTTTGTGGAGACGGGATTTCGCTATTATGCCCAGGCTGGTCTTGAATTCCTAGCCTCAAGTAATCCTTCCACCTTGGCCTCCTAAAATGCTGGGGTTACAGGCATGAGCTATCCTGCCCAACCTTACTAGCTTATTTTTTTTTAATCGCTGAATTATGTTTCATCGTATGAATATATGGTACCATATTTTGTTTATTCACCTGATGAAGGACATCTTGGTTGCTTCCAGGTTTTTGCAACTATGTATAAATATTTAGTAAACATGAGGGTGCCGGTTCTTGAACAGAGATAGCTGTTCAATTCATTTGCATAAGCGGTCAGTTCATTTACATAAACAGTCATGCATTTGCATAAATGGTCAGTTCATTTGCATATACCAAGGAACGTGCTTACTGGATCCTTTGGTAAGAGTATAGTCAACTTTGTAACAAAATACCTTCCCAAGTGGCTGTACTGGTTTTTTTTTTTTTGGAACGGAGTCTTGCTCTGTCACCCAGGCTGGAGCTGAGTGTGGCTGTGCTGTCCCGGCTCCCTGCCGCCTCAAGCTCCAGGGCTCAAGCCATCCTCCCATCTCAGCCTCCCGAGGAGCTGGGACTGTGGGCATGTGCCCTCACTCCTGGCTAAACATGTTTTTATTTTTCATGGATACCGAGTCCCGCTGTGCTGCCCGGGTTGGCTGTGCTGTTTTGCAATGTTTTGGGGGTTCCTGTTGCCGCACATCCTCACCAGCATTTGGTGATGTCAGTGTTTCATATCTGGGCTGTTCTAACAGGTGTGTAGTAGTATCTTGTTTTAATTTCCAATTCCCTAATTACATATCATGTTGGGCATCTTTTCATTGGCTTGTTTGCCATTTGTATATCTTCAGCGAAGTGTCTGTTGTTTGTTTTCTTATTTTTGACAAAATAGTGTTTTTCTATTTAGGATCTTATCTGTTGTCTCTGACTTATCTGAAAGGAGAAGGTAAGAAGATGATGTGTGTACACGGGATGGCTACGAAATGGTGCGGCTGTGTCCCCACCCAAATCTCGTCTTGCGCTCCCACCTGTTGTGGGAGGGACCCGGTGGGAGGTCATTGAATCACGGGGGCAGGTCTTTCCCGTGCTGTTCTCGTGATAGTGAGTAAGTCTCACGAGAGCCGATGGTTCTATAGGGGGGAATTTCCCTGCGCGAGCTCCCTCTTTTCCTGCCGCCATCCACGTAAGATGTGACTTGCTCCTCCTTCTCTTCCACCGTGGTTGTGAGGCTTCCCCAGCCACGTGGAACTGTAAGTCCATTAAACCTCTTTCTTTGGTAAATTGCCCAGTCTCGGGTAGGCCAACGGACTAATACAACTGTGACGGGGAAAGGCCCCAAACACACATAGTTGTGTCTAGCACAGAGTACCATGAAGTGTGACAGGTTGGACTACGCATGTGGTTAAGAGCTTATGCTTGGGCCGGGCGCGGTGGCTCAAGCCTGTAATCCCAGCACTTTGGGAGGCCGAGACGGGTGGATCACGCGGTCAGGAGATCGAGACCATCCTGGCTAACACAGTGAAACCCCGTCTCTACTAAAAAAATACAAAAAACTACCCGGGCGAGGTGGCGGGCGCCTGTAGTCCCAGCTACTGGGGAGGCTGAGGCAGGAGAATGGCGTAGACCTGGGAGGCGGAGCTTGCAGTGAGCTGAGATCCGGCCACTGCACTCCAGCCTGGGCGACAGAGCGAGACTCCGTCTCAAAAAAAAAAAAAACAAAAAAAAAAAAAGAGCTTATGCTTGGAGTTCAAATCCTGGACCTTTGTCACTTACCAGCTGTCATTCACCTCTCTGAGCCTCAGTTTGCTCACCTGTACAATGGGGGTGTTAAAACCTGCCTCACAGGGTTGCTCTGAAAGATAAAGGACATGATTCCATAAAGCACTTGGCACTAAGCCTGGCAAATGGTAAAAGCCCTCAATAGTGATTCTCCTAATTGATCATTGACAGACAAACCTTTCACCTCCCCCACGTGACATTTTGTGTTTCCCTATGTCCTGGTCTTTGAGACTCAGAGCCCACTAGCATCCCATTTGTCCTTACAGTGCAAAGTCGGTGTGTGTGTGCAGACGGGGAGCACGCATGCCCCAGCAGGCACCCACTTCTCAGCCTCAGGGCACTGCTCCTGGCCTCCTCTCACTTGCCCCAGGACTCAGTTCTCTAGCCAGTCCTGGGTGGCTGTTTCTGTTTCCCCAAGTCTGGCTACACAGGTGTAGAAACCCCAGCGATCCCCCTTCCAGCTTCTCTGAGCATGAACCCCTGGTGGGTTTGTTCGAGGAAGTTCCTGCTATGGCAATGAGAAGTTAGAGAGGTGGGAAAGTGACCATGCAGACGGAGTCCTCACAGCAGTGGCTGTAGACTTGCCAGCTACTGGCACCTTTGCGGATGGGATTTACGATGTTGTGCTTGTTTGTTTGCCTTTGAGACAGAGACTCACTCTGTTGCCAGCCTGGAGTGCAGTGGTACGATCACGGCTCTCTACAGCCTTAACCTCCCCAGGCTCAGATGACCCTCCCACCTCAGCCTCCCAGGTAGCTGGGATTACAGGTGCATGTCACTGAGCCCAGCTAATTTTTTCTTTGTGTGCGTGTTTTTTTTGTTTGTTTGTTTTTGTTTTTCAGAGACAAGGTTTCACCATGTTGCCCAGGCTGGTTTCAAACTCCTGGCTCAATGGATCCTCCCGCCTTGGCCTCCCAAAATGCTGGGACTACAGACTAGGATGGTTTTTGATATGGCCTCACCAAAGGCCTCCTGCCTCTCTCAGCAAGGCCACGTGGCCTTTCCCCTCGTGCTGATTCCTCTTCCCAGTAGATACACTTTCTGTTCATCAGGCCTCCTGCCCAGATGTGAGCCCCTCTGGGCATTTCCCACAATACAGAAGAGGATGATGGTGAGGGTAGTGATGATTGATGGTGACAAGCCTGATGGTGGTGAATAGGATGATGGTGACAGTGATGATGATAGTGATGACGGTGATGGTGATTGACAATGATGGTGATGATGATGAGGATGATGATAGTGGTGTTGGTGATGATGGTAATAATGATGATGGTGATGACAGTGATGATGACAATGTCTGATGGTGGTGATGGTGATGATGACTGATGGAGGTGAATATGATGATGGTGACAGTGATGGTGATGATGGTGAGGGTGATGAGAGTGGTATTGGTGATGATGGTGGTGATGGTGGTGACAGAGATGACAGTGATGGTGATGGTGATGATGACTGATGGTGATGATGGTGATGATGACTGATGGAGGTGAATATGATGATGATGATAGTGGCACTGATGGTGATAGCGATGATGGTGTTGGTGATGATGATGACACTGATGGTGGTGATAGTGTGGATGATGATGATAATGTCTGATGGTGGTGATGGTGATGATGACTGATGGTGATGATGACAGTGATGATGATGATGGTGAAGGTGCTAATGGTGGTGAATATGATGATGTTGGTGACAGTGATGATGATGGTGATGATGGTGAGGGTGATGATAGTGGTATTGGTGACAATGATGGTGATGATGGTGGTGACGGAGATGACAGTGATGGTGATGGGGTGGTGATGGTGATGACAGTGATGATGACAATGTCTGATGGTGGTGATGGTGATGATGACTGATGATGTCAGGAGGTGAATATGATGATGGTGACAGTGATGGTGATGATGGTGATGGTGCTGATGGTGGTGAATATGATGCTGGTGACAGTGATGGTGATGGGGTGATGATGGTGATGATGATGAGGGTGATGATAGTGAAATTGGTGATGATGATGGTAATAATGCTGCTGCTGCTGATGGTGATGATGGTGGTGACAGAGATGACAGTGATGGTGGTGGTAATGATGGTGATGATGGTGCATATGATGATGATGATGGTGATGATGACTGATGGTAATGATGGTGATGGTGGTGATGATGGTGATGGTGGTGATGATGGTGAGGGTGATGATAGTGGTATTGGTGACGATGATGGTGATGATGGTGACAGAGATGACAGTGATGGTGATGGTGGTGATGATGAGGGTGATGATAGTGGTATTGGTGATGATGATGGTGATGATGGTGGTGATAGAGATGACAGTGATGGTGATGGTAATGATGATGACTGATGGTAATGATGGTGATGGTGGTGATGATACTGGTATCGGTGATGATGATGGTGACAGAGATGACAGTGATGGTGGTGATGATGATGATGGTAATGGTGGTGATGGTGGTGATGATGGTGAGGGTGATGATAGTGGTATTGGTGACGATGATGGTGATGATGGTGGTGACAGAGATGACAGTGATGATGATGGTGGTGATGGTGGTGATGATGGTGATGGTGGTGATGATGGTGAGGGTGATGATAGTGGTATTGGTGATGATGGTGATGATGGTGGTGACAGAGATGACAGTGATGGTGATGGTAATGATGATGACTGATGGTGATAATGGTGCATATCATGATGATGACGATGGTGATGATGAGGACAGCCATGATGGCCCTACCCTGAGAGTGCACACTGTGACAGGCTTTGTGCTGGTTGTGTTACCTGCACCACCTCTATCAGGTTTTCTCAACTCAAGTGCTTTGGCGTTTAGGCTGGATAACTCTGTCATGGGGGCTGGTTTGTGCCTCAGGGATGTTTAGCAGCGTTCCTGACCTCTACCCACTGGATGGATAGTGGTTAGTAGCACCCCCTACTGTGTCTCCAGATATTTCCAAAAGTCTCTTGGGGGACAAAATCACTCTGATTCAGAACCAGCGATTGAATTTATTCTTCCCAATAGCCCCAGGAGGCAGCTACTCATTTATGGGTGATGCACCTAAGGCTTAGAGAAATGAAGGAAGTTGCCCGAGGTCACCAAGCTCATAATTCACAGAGCCAGAATGCAAACCGCAGATACGTGACCCTGAGCCCGGGCCTGTAACCACTGCCCTTTGTCACCTGGCAGAAGAAGAGAATTTGTCAGCCTGCTAGCGGGGCTACCTGGAGTGTGTGACCGGGTTGAACGCCTGCTTGGTCAGCCCCAGCATCCTTTGCCAGATTCATTTTGAGGTAATAAAAATAGTGGCTCTGCCCATTTTCTGACTCGCTTTGAACTCAGAGAGCTGAATGTGTTAAAGTAGAGACTGTCTCCACAGTCCCCAGTCCTGTGCCATGATAGGGAAGTCCTGCATCTTCCTTCAGGCAGCCGTGTCACCTGGTGTGTCACCTGTGGACACCTGTGGGGAGCAGGAACAGGCATGGATGTGTTTTATTGCGAGTGGGAGCTCCCAAGGTCTTTGTCTGTGTTCTCCTAATGTTGTGAACCTGGGTTTTATGGGTTGAATGCCCAAGCTATCTACTTGTAATTTTACTTTTATAATAATTTGTTATGAATAATTAAAAACATGCAGCAAAGTGGAACAAATGTTGTAGTGAAACTTACATGCCTGACCTTCGGATTCCATCACTGACAATTTCCTTTATCTGTTGTGGTGTTTCTTGTTTTTGGAACCCAGATTAGTATCACGTCTGGCTGGTTGGTCAATGAGACACTATAAATTCTCTATGAGGAGAAGAAATTCATAACATACCCAGTGGACATGAGGCAAAGATGGTCTTCATTCACCAGAGTAATGGGCGAGGTCATGGATGACCTTCTAATCACCATCACCAATCATCACCACAAACACACCCCATTCCCTTTTGCTGTCACCCTTCCCCGACCCCAAGAAGCCCTAGGCAACCACTAATCTACGTTCTGTCTCTATAAATTTGTCTGTTCTGAACATTTTACATAAATGGAATCATATAATATGTGGTCTTTTGTGACTGGCTTCTTTTAGCAGATTTTCAAGGTTTGTCTGTGTTGTAGCAGGAATCGATACTTCATTCCTTTTTATAGCCAAATAATATTCCTTTGTATGAATACATCATATTTTGTTTGTCCTTTTTCCAGTTGATGGACATTTGTGTTGTTTCCCGTTTTGGCTATTGTGAATGGTGCTGCTGTGAATACTGGTGTACAGGTTTTTATTTGAACATCTGCTTTCAATTCTTTTGGGTCTATGCCTGGGAGCGGAATTGTTGAGTCAGATGATAATTCTGTGTTAACTTGTTGAGGAACTGCCCAACTGTCTTCCATAGTGGCTTCCATTTTCCATTCCCACCACCAAGGCACAAGTGTGCCAGTTCCTCCACATCCTCGCGAACACTTGTTATTTTTCATGTGTTTTCACATAGCCATCCTGGTGGATGTGAAGTGGTATCTCACGGTGGTTTTGATTTGTGTTTTCCTGATGGTTAATGATGTTGAGTCTTTTTTCAGGTGATTTTTGGGCGTGTCTTCTTTGGGGAAATGTCTTTTGAAATCCTTTGCCCGTGTTTAAATGAAATTGTCATCTTGTTGTTGAGTTGTGAGAGTTATTTATATAGTCTAGATACTAGACCCTTATCAGATACGTGGTTTGCAAATATCTTCTCCCATTCTCTGGGCCGTCTTTTCACCTTTTTGATAGTATCTGTTGATGCACAAAGCTGGAAATGATGGTAACGTCAGCCAGGCACCGTGGTGTATGCTTGTCATCTCAGCAACCTGGGGGCCGAGGTGGGAGGACCACTTGAGCCCAGGAGCTTGAGATGAACCTAAACAACATGGCAAGACCCCTGTCTCAAAAAAATTATGATAAAAAGTCCAGTTGGTCTCTTTTTTCTTTTGTCATGTATGGTGTCATCTAAGAAATCATAAGCAAATCTTAGATGACACCAAAACATAGATGACACCTATCTAAGAAATCATTGCCAAATCTGAAGTCATGAAAATTTACCCCGACATTCCTTGCAAGAATTTCATAGTTTTAGCTCTTGTTTTAGGTTTGATCTGTTTGAGTTAAATTTGACAATGGTGTGACCTCGGGGTCCACGTCATCCTTCTGCACGTGGCTTCTCTTGTCCCAGCAGATGTTGAAAAGACTGTGCTTTCCCCGTGGTATGGTCTCAGCACCCTTGTGGAAAGTCAGTTGAGCACGGATGTATGGGTTTATTTCTGGGCTCTCAGTTCTGTTCTAGTGCCACATGTTGTCAGTACCGTCTGGGCAGGGGGCACCCTGCTCTCCGGGAGTGTTCGCTCCAGTAGGAGAGGTCAGACACGTTCACCAGAAACTGGGAAGTTCTGGGAAGAGTTAAAAACAGTGTGCTTCTGAGGACGAGGCCGCGCTTGCTTTAGCCCGGGGCAGTGAGTGAGGATGTGGGGAGGCCGGGGTGGGGGCAGTGAGTGAGGATGTGGGGAGGCCTGGGTGGGGACAGTGAGTGAGGATGTGGGGAGGTCTGGGTGGGGGCAGTGAGTGTGGATGTGGGGAGGTCTGGGTGGGGACAGTGAGTGAGGATGTGGGGAGGTCTGGGTGGGGACAGTGAGTGAGGATGTGGGGAGGTCTGGGTGGGGGCAGTGAGTGCGGATGTGGGCAGGTCTGGGTGGGGACAGTGAGTGAGGATGTGGGGAGGCCTGGGTGGGGGTGAGTGAGGATGTTTGGAGGCCTGGGTGGGGACAATGAGTGAGGATGTGGGGAGGCCTGGGTGGGGGCAGTGAGTATGGAGTGTGGGGAGACCTGGGCCTGGGCATAAGGAATGATGCCTGGTGTTTGTTTGGAGACAAATTTGGCACGGCAGGGTGGAGCCTGTTGATGGCCATGAACTTCCGGATGAGGACCCTGGGCTTGATTTTGAGGTGTCTGGGTGGAGCAGGGCCTTTGGAGGGCCTGTCTGATGGCAGGATTAGGCAGGTCTGAACTGGGGAGCCTGGAGCCAGGGGCACCCCTTAGGACTGTGGGGTGACTGAGGTCTGGGTGACACCTGGTTCAGGCAGTGGTCTGGTGGGGAGCAGGGGCTGTCTTTGAAAATGCCCCGGGCCTCCCACACCAGCTCCTTTGTGCCTCTCTGCTCTGAGGGCCTAGGGTGGGATAACAACGGCGCTGGAGGCTGCTGACTGAGGTCCCACAGGCCTCGCATCTCTCATCCCAGCCCCGCCTGCCCCGGGGAACAGCCAGCCCATCTCCTCTGCCGTCCCCTTCAGGCTGCCCCGGCCCAGTTCTCAGAACTGTTTGGCCGATTACTGCACAACTCAGTTTCTGGGAACTCCTTGCTCCCAGCTGCTGGGTGCAGGGCAGGTGCTCGGAGAATACCCCGGCGTATTGCTTTCATTGGGCGCCACACCTGCAACCCAGTGCCTTGGGAGGCGGAGAGGGATAGAAAGCACTTGGGCTCAGCCCAGCTCCGTTGGGCCAAACCGGGCGCCTGGTGCCGGCTTACGGGGTCTTGGGCAAGTGGCTGCACCTCTCGAGCTGGTTTCTTCTTTTCTGGAAGGAGTGATGGTCGCGTCTTGGGCTTGTGATGATTCCACTTGGCCGGCCAGTGGCGGCACCTGGCAGGTGGGCAGCACCCATGAAGGTGGCTTCCCCCCTCCCAGTTTGGTAGCGCAGGGTCAGGTTGGGCATGTGTAGGGACGTTTGTTAACTTGAGGGCTCCTCCTAGAAGCCCTGAAAACTAGCTAAGTGCCAGTGGTTGTGTCTGACTCTTTCCCTGCCCGCCTTCTCAGTCCCAAGCCGTGTTCTAGGTCCCCCAGTGTTGCCTGAGCCCTCAGCTGGCCTCCTTATGGGCACCCTTACTTATTTGGAGCTTTAGCGTCTGCCAGGAGAATGGGGAGTGTGCAGAGAACCGGACAGCTGGTTCCCAGGCAGGGCAGTGCCTAACCCTGGAGTTGCAACAGAGAAACGTCTGTTTGTGTTTCTGTGAGTAAGAGGAGACAGCTGGGCCCACAGATAGCTGGCGAGGTCAGCCGGGAATGGCCTTGGCTGCTGGCTGTAAGTAAACCCTGGCTCTGGTGAGGTGGGGCCAGGAAGGCTGGAGAAGTACCGGGCAGGGCCGGCGGAGAGCCACCTGGGAGCTGGAGTCTGGGCTGGGCAGTGCAGAGGCCGCTGGGGGAGGCAGGGTTGTGGGACGCTGCTCCCCAGGACCTGGAGCACACCCGAGAACTCCGTACACCCGAGGACTCTGCACACCCGAGGACGGGGACTTTTCCAGGCAGGTGAGGAGGGTGGGCCTTCTTTTTCCCCCAGAAGCTTCTCTGCTTCATGGAGAGGTTTCTCTCGGGCTCCTGCAACAAGCAGCTCCCGGGTGGGAGCTGAAATCAGGTTTCCTCTGCAAAGATTCCGCCTGCCTGGGACATTCCAGACCCACATAAATCACGTAAACGGAAGCAGGCCTGCATTTCTGCATTCAAAGACAATTAGCTTGAATACTTGACACTGCCCGTCCCAAGCCCGGTGCCCCGCAGCCCCGGAGGACTTGGGCGTGTTCTGGGCAGAGAGAGCCCAGGGGCCACGGGTACCTACGTATTATTCTGGTCACCTTTGCGCTAAGTGTGAATTTCATTTTCTTCTCTCTCTCTCTCTCTCGTTAGCCTGTACATTTTTTTTTTTTTTTTTTTTTTTGAGACAGGGTCTTGCTCTGTTACCCAGGCTGGAATGCAGTGGCACGATCATGGCTCACTGCAGCCTCCATCTCCTGGGCTCAAGTGATCCTTCTGCTCAGCTTCCTGAGTATCTGAGACTACAGGTGCATGCCACCGTGCCCGGCTAATTTCTAAATTTTTCTGTAGAGGCGCAGCCTTGCTCTGTTGCCCAGGCTGGTCTTGAACTCCTGGGCTCAAAAAGTCCTCCCACCTTGGCTTCCCAAAGTGCCAGGATCACAGGTGTGAGCCACCACGCCCAGCCTGGTTACCCTGCTGTTGCTGCCTTCAGCTCCGTGATTGCCTTGATACAGAAGTTCTACCTACCCTGTTTCAGGCCTTTCAGAAGAGACAAATGCAAGCTATGCCTCTGGGGACATGTAGGCAGAGCTGTGGCTGTTAAAAGCTGAGGGCTGGCACTTGAAACGAGATGGGGGAGAAGTAGGTTATTTCACATACCATTTGGGTTGGAGGCTTTGCAGGGCGTTTCTGCCTGGGAAGGAGAACAGTAACAGTTAGACGAAGAGACGAGGAGGGATTTGGGGTCCACCGGAGGGGGGGTTGCCTGTCATTAAAGATGCCCAAGGATTTACTTTCCTCGGTGAAGAAAGACCCACAGGATTCAGTGAAACCTCCTACGTGTGCCCCATGCGAGGCCTTGCGGGGTACAAAGGAGAAAACGCCGCCCAGCCCTCGAACAGCGAGACCGAGCTGCCCGGCAAGGACCTGGTGCCTCGTCAGCACCCAGCGCGTTTGACGAACGAGACCAAGGAAACTGAAAGGTGCTGTTGTTGGTCCTGCTGAGGACAGTAGCAGACGCTTAGCTCTGTGACCAAGTGGGGCGGCCCCCGGACGGGGTCCTGGGCAGCATGTCCGGGGTCGCTGCTCCTCAAAGAGCACAGACGGGAAAGGCTGCGGGAGTCTCAGCAGGGGCTGGAGGGTCCGTAGAGAGCCCAGGTGTAGAGGCAGGGGGGGAAAGAGGCAGGTGAAGGAGGTGACGGGTTCACACTGTGGGGCCTTAAATTTCAGGCCAGCGAGGCTGGACCTTATTCTTATTCCGTGAGGCACTTTTTAAGACAAGATTTTATTGGCGGGCTGGGCGTGGTGGCGTACTCCCATAGTCCCAGCTACGTGGGAGGCTGAGGCAGGAGGATCGTTTGAGACCAGCCTGGACAACAGAGCAAGACCCTGTCTCTACCAAAAAATTTAAAAATTAGCCAGGCGTGTCGTTCTAGCGACTTGGGAGGCTGACGCAAGGATCACTTGAGCCCAGGAGTTGGAGGCCGCAGGGAGCTACGGCTGTGCCACTGCACTCCAGCCTGGGCAACAGAGCAGGACCCTGTCTCAGAAAGAATTATTGGGGCCTAACCGATTACACAGTTCCGGTAAGTGGCAAACTCTTGATGGTTCAATTAGTCCCCTGAGAAGTACTGGACACCCACCGTGTCTGGGCATCGGGGTAATGGGTGAAGACCCCGGGATGCGGGCAGAATGAAGTGCCGATGGGAGGGAGGTGGGCTCAATCGGAACGGGGGCCAGATCGGGGGAGCCAGAGAGTTCCCAGGGGAGGTGCTGCTGGGCCACCCCCAGCTGGGGGAGGTGGACAGCGTGAACCAAAGGCGTTCCAGGTGAGAGGTGCCGGAGACAAGGCTGGGCAGCTGGGGCGCATCCAGCTCCTGGCGGCTGGAGCGCCAGTTTTGCAGAGGGGTGAGGTGGCTGCTAGAATGGAAGGTGGTTTGTGCCAGATCATGGACGGCCTTGAGGGCAGCCTGGGCTTTCTTCCTTGGTAGTGGGGAGC